GTATGTCATGCTATGTTAGTATCTCAACGGAAAAAGTGTTCAAGGTCATTTACTAAAACAACAGGTACAATCATTTAATGATAAATGTACATGTAGTGAGAAATTGACAAAATAAATACCAATAATATTAAAAACTATTTACAAAATAAGCTTGTCAAACCTATCTCCACAAATGTATCCAAGCGACTGACCCATGTCTAGTAAAGTATACTAACTCACTTGGGCGTGTCCAGCATGTGGGAACAAAAATAGTGAAGGGTCTTTCTAAACTCCCTTACGATGAGCGTTTGAAACGCCTAAACTTTTTCCCTTTGTCGTGTCATAGGACACGAGATGACCTTATATTGGCATTTCGTATCTTTAATTATGATTTCAGTTACAGTTTCAGTTTGGGAAGGACAGGAGGCTCGATGGCCTATGTTTGTCCTGGCAATGGTGGTCTCTCAATGGATCCGACTTTCTTTTGAAAGAGTCGACGGACGGAGCCTCAACCACGTGGTGACGTAATGAATTCCACTCGTTGATGATTCGATGGGAAAGTCGATAGTCAGCTGACAAGTAATTTGTTCTCGGCTTGTGAACTATTTTTGAAGTATCTTCGTAAATTCTCTGTTTTGGAAGACAAGAAAAATCAGGACATATTAGGTGTAAATTTATTACTGAGTAATTTGAAAACTGTAATCAAGTCACCTCCAGTTCTTTGATACGATAACGGGAATAGGTTTAGTTTAGCCAATTGAGCATCATATGGGACCTTCGCTCTTCCGGGAATCAGCTTAGTTGGTGTTCTCTGAAACTTTTTCAGGAGCTCACTGTCTTTTTTTAAGCGGAGCCTAGCAGCTCGTATGCAGCACTCAAGTTTATGACGTACGAACACTGTATACAAAGTCGAAACCGTTTTAGCATTGACATGACTATAGGCCCTACTCATTGACCGTAAAGTTTTAAAACTTTCTGCGGCTATTGCACGGCTAGTGCAGTAGTCTTCAAGTCTTGGCTAACGATGACTCCTAAATCATTGTGTGTCTGGACAACAGGTAGCCCAGTGTCATTAATCATGTATGTATCTGTACCTTGATGACCGATATGCATCACAGTACACTTGGAAGTATTAATCGGCAACTGCCAGGTTTGAGACCACTCAGATAATTTCTCCAGGTCATTTTGAAGTTCTAAGTTATCACTCTTACTTCGTATCGCTCTCCATATCTTGACATAGTCAGCATATAGTAAGACATGATGATGATGATGACGATCATAGGAGACGAGGAAGGTTATTTACATACAGGAGGAATAACACTGGCCCCAAAACTGTACCCTGAGGAGCTGCACTAAGTGCAGTTTCCCAGCTGGACAACTTGAAGTTCACCGCTACCTTTTGTTGGCTCTCAACTAAGAAGTCTTTTATCCACATCAATAAATTGCCTCCGATCCCGACTTTTCTTAACTTATATAACTTCCGGTTGTGTGGAACTTTGTCAAAAGCTTTACTGAAATCAATGAAGGCGAAGTCTACAGGTAGCTTTTGGTCCTTAAGAGCGCACCAGCTTTCACGAGCCACTAATAAGTTAGTGAGACAAGAATAACCTATTCTGAAACCGTGCCGCTTCTCCGAGAGCATCCGGTTTTTATCGAGATACTTAAACAGCTCCTTCCGAATAATCTTTTCTAAAATTTTAACAACCACACTAGTTAGGCTAACGGGGCGGTAGTTCTCAGGTTTGTGTTTCGTACCTGTTTTGAAGACAGGACTTACTATGGCGTTTTTCCAGTCTTTCGGTAAACGACCCTGCGTAACGGATAGGTTAAAGCATATACTTAAAGGGCTTGCAACGAAGTTAGATAATTCCTTTAGTAGCCTAGGATGTAATTCATCGGGCCCCGTGGATTTACCTATGTCAAGCTTATTTAGCAGACCAAAGACATCGAGTTCTTTAATGGTCACGCTATCCAGTGTATGTATGAGGGGATCTGTATACGCTGACGGGAAGGGCGCTTCTATGGTATATACGTTGCTAAAGTAGTTCGAGAACATATGAGCCTTACCAAAGTCGTCCTCCACTAATGATGAAGCAGTACTGTCTCCCCATAGAGCAGGAATATTTCCTTTTCTCCTTGTCCTTTGGTTTATATAGGAATACAAGCGTTTAGGACATTCTATGGATTCCTTAACAAGTTTTCCTTCGTACAATTTTCTAGACTTACGAAGGGTCGCGACACAAGTATTCCGAGCCTTTCGATACTGAGATTTTGACTCATCAGTCCCCAGTAACCTAAATCTATCCCACATTTTCCTTTTCTTACGGAGAAGGATGCGGACCTCCCTACTGAACCATGGTGGTGAGTTTTTCAGCCCCTTTGGTATAGTCCAAGGGATGTGAGGTGTGGTAACTTTTAAGTATGAATTTCGAAATAAGTCCCAGGCCGTCTCAATGGAGGACTCTGGGTCTATTGTCCAATCTATTAACGATGCTGAGTGCATGATGTCCGGTATGTTTGCTTTCCAGACGTTGGGTCTGGACTGGACTGACGCGTCCTCGTGACTGGCAGTTATATGGAAGTCGAAAGTTAAAACTGCGTGGTCACTTTTACCTAGGGGTGGCATATGAAGGAGGTTCGCAACATCATCCTCATAGTTAGTCAGTATAAGATCTAATAAGGATGATTCAAGGTCCGGATCGTACCTTGTCGCTTCTTTCACATGTTGCACTAGAGCACATGTGATAACCCTGTAGTGGCATTGGACAATAGCCACACAATCCACAAAGCTGTGAACACGAGACTACTCAGAAAATAGATATTCAATATTTAACTCGGGGAAATACCTAACAATGAAGAAGGCGCGAAGAATGAATTGAATGGTCTGGAGTTGATCGAGTGGCATGGCTCGACCATGCAGACGTGGTCTCTGCTGAATGTTACCTTATATCTTCTATTCATATTAAATATATTGTTCTTTCTCTAGCCTAACCTTGTTCTACATCATGTATTGGTAATTGATACGATACAGTGAGTTGGCGTAGTCGATGGTGTGACTTCCACGTAAGATCTTATAGATTAGGCAGTTATATCATGACGAATCTACAAATTTAGGATTATGTCTATTATTAGAGCAGTACTAATATCATAGTAGACCATAATTCTACAACCCCATCAACTAGTTCCTGCTCGAAAGAATTCTCCGATGATTTAGTTCGCAGATTTTCCCAGTCTACCACTTTGGAAGCTCAAAACGAGCTTTAGGTTCAGAGCTATCGCTCTCCTTGATTCTATGAAAATAGCTGATCTGTCGCTATGATCAGCTTTCGATTTTTCAACTACTTTTACGGTGGCAGGGTTCCCTTTTATATCCCTACTTTTCTTCCTTACAACCTGTACCCATTCTTCAACGGTGCTGGTAGAAGCAATAACAGTTGCGTCAAACCTAGTGTTGGATTTTGGGGGGTTGTCGACGACCTGAGAGGTCGGGTTATGCTTACCGCTTGAAACCGATCGAGCCTTGCGATTGCGGCTTCTAGGTGTTTCCTGTTGGATCCCATCTGGGAGACGGGGAACAGGAGACCCTACTTTTCTTGATCTTTTGTTTAAGACGGGCCCCTTTGGAGACTGTTTTCCTTCTTTGACGGGCGTGAGTCATCTATCATCGGACTAACCTTAGTTTCCTTCACATTGATTTGCGTGTTGACAGATCGAGTGCTAATTGACGCGTTCCGACTATGGTTGCTAAAACACTTCTTTGCAGCATCAACCAGTGAGATGGCCTCGGTTAATAAGCTGTTTGTATCCGAGCAGCACTGTTGACAAAACCATACACAACCCTTCTTACTGAACCGTTTGAAAGCAGCAGGCGTTAAGTTCGTGCAAACCTCATGGTACCAGCCTTTGCACTCGTCGCACTGCATACCGCTTTCAACAGGATAACGACAACCCGGACGTTGGCAACTGCTTTTTTTACACAGTCCGGTCATTTAGGAGGGGTTCTTTTTCAAGATGCGATGATACTCAGAAACGAAAAAATAATCAATAACCAAAAGAGTGAAGAGCTGTAGATTGCTAGGACCAAAGGTATTAACAGATACAGTTGAAAAAGAGGTTGTAGCGTGGCGTCGAGTTGAATATTAACTATGAACACCGCTACCAAGAAACACGTGCCAAGTAGATCAGAAGGCGTAAGAAGCTCGTTCCAAATGACTCCATAAAATCCCCGAGAAGCCGAATACCAGAAGGCAATTAATGGACTAAGTCGAGGTTTATTAGCTGGCGATCTCGTGGCATCGAAAGGATACCGAGATCGTGCCAGGATACAAGCTTGGTTACAGAACGTAACCGAATTCGCGCGAAGTTACAATCGAAGTGTAAGTAAGTATATGAATGGAAGCACAAATTAGCTGTCATTAGCACAGTCAAACAAAAGCACGTTAAAACAAACACTGGTACAGCTGGTTATAATAATAATTGTTTTTATTAAACCAGTCGTGTTCTTGTGATAAATGTGAGTCACTACAAGGTACTCGAGAGTACCAACGACAAAACTAATTGAGAGAACAGTAAAAACGATACTCTAGTCGAATACTTTAACTGAAATAAATTCAATTAAAGTGAAAACAGTAGTCTTGATACGTAATAAACGATCGAAACAAACAAATTTACTCAGCGAGGAAAAATACCACTGTCCTTTTTAAATAGCGCGCGCAGGTAGTAATGCTAATATGCTTCATCATTTCGCTATTTCTAGCACCAATATTCTCGAAAGTCATAGCAAAAGCGTTCACAAACGGCGATCGAATAAACTTAAAGTGGTGTTCGGTTTTTCTCACCGAGTGGTCAATGACTGGAACGCCTTGCCCGAATACGTGGTACCGGCTCCATCGGTTAACATGTTCAAGGAGAAGCCGGACCTTCACTGGAAGACAAACTGTCAGGATTAACACAGGTTAACCACTCTACTATCCATGTTACCGAAGATTGATATGTGAAGTTTATTAAACATTGAATGCCGTATGTAGCCCAATCAAGGGGCTTGTTTAACTCGTCTCCATATGAGCTCTCGAAGACTCCTATTAGTTTTAGTGGTATGTGGGTTGGCTAGTTCATGTACAGCTCAGAGGTAATGATATATATATAACAATATTTTTAAGTCTGATTAATAGGGATAACTACACCTATTTTAATGTATCTGGTTGCTTGGCATTCTTTGCTCGTTCGATATCCGTAAAATTCGTTAGCGGTAAAGCAGCCAGTATCGTCCCTATACCGGCTAGTTCATTGTCACTTTCTCCACTCAGTAAATGCTCTGATCTAAAATCGCTGCTCGTTTTTACATCATCAAATGTTAATGAAATCTCCGACCTTAATGTCAGGTAAACAAACTAATACGTATTTGATAATATTTAACAGCTTGGGTTTTATCAAGTCTGGCCGTTATTGGAGTGTGTCTGAATCATCTGTTAGTATCAAGTGTCAACCGGGTTCCAAATCATGCGTCAATGTAGCTGGAAATCCCTTGGTTATGAAATGGGCTGGAGCCCCTATCAATCTTGGTTACAAGTGCACTAAGCCTTCAGCTGCACCAGTAATCTTACCGTCAGATTCTGGGAATTCAGTTTCTCTTCAGTTTGCTAGCATCCAAGTAAGTAGCATTTTCGGTGTTTTTCTCCATAATGATATTCTTATCAAATTTAACAAATGCGATGTCTTCTCGACTAACGAAAAACCTACTATCGAGTTGGTAACAATTGTATTGATCGATTATATTCTACTGACAATGATACAGTTACCACTCTTCACTATTTTGCTGTATAGGGATTTAGGAAGCCGGGTCCAGGTTCATACCTTCGATTATTATTCACAAATTTCTTTGGAGATAGGAGGTTGATTCTTTTTTTCCTGATCTGTTTGTACCACGTCTAATTTCTTTTGTTCAACCGTACTTTGAATACTCAAAGATACTTTCAGCCTGCATAAACCTACCGTGTTTTGATCTTAACGAAAACAAATCTCTTTTTCAGTCAGTGTTGATGGCAGTTGAAATCGATAATTAAGTTTATTGGCCTTGCCTGTGTATTACGACACGATGAATCTGTCATCGTGTGTTAGAAATGTGTTCGTTTCATTATACTTCCAGTCGGGACCTAATTATCATCGTGATGGGGATTGTCATGATCCTATATAAGCAGGAAAATATGACTCAATATTTTTTATTTACTGATGTGGTGTAATTTGGGTTTATAGTTTGCAACATGCGTTTAGTAAGTTTCAGGTGGAATATTTTATTGAATGGTTTCTTGTGCTATAGGTCCCGAACGAAACCTTATCAACTCATTTATCAGACATTGTATGATGGTGGTTGGAGGTAATCGACAGGAAACCCTCCACTACCTTACATCAACTAGGCACACGTGATATTAAGTGGTTATATTGTAACTCGATCATTGCGATTCGATTTTCACTAAGAAGGATGTGATACACATAACATTAGTTAATACCTAGTCGTAAACTTAGCTACAAGCCCAATACATGTATGACATAGCAATACTGTCCGTTTCCCAAAACCAAAGTGAATTTGACGGGGTTCTAACCTGACTTACTGGAAATTGAACACCCAGGGTTATTACTATAAAGTCTAATTCTGTTTAGTGTTTCCAATCGATCTATAATTAAAACTCTGAAATACTACGTCTGTATCTTATCTGTCAGTTCACATCAACGATCCATCTGATCTCATCCGGAGACCCTGACATTTCTAATCTGCCTTGATGTCTCGCTAATCAATAACAAGAAACTGTAGTTGCCTGTTGTTAGATTACTTAATTCCGCAGTGTTCAGATAGCCTGTACTTAAATGCTTGATATTATTTCCGGCATGGTTGTTCACTATAGTCATCTACATTTTTTGTTTTAGGTTCAACCATTCGGCGTAAAAGATGGTGTGTTTGGTGATGTCACAGATTGTGTCGGGTACTTCAGTATTGGTGTTTGGTCATCGCTGATTGTTTCCATTCTTTTGGTTTCTATTTTAACATATGGTTTAGTTATGTTGGCATCTGTACAGCCTAGTGAAATATATGAAGATCCTAAAAAGAAAATGATTCAGCTTGGTGCTGATAACTAAAAAACACAAGTTTTGTTCAAAGGGTGATAGATATTTATCTAATATAGATTTTGGTTCTGTGTTTTCAAGCATAATCCCTTTTGTATTTACATACAAAACTAGCTATTCTTCTTGATTTACTTTTTCTCTCAATAATGTTGCTGTGTTGTGTACAAGTCATATATTTATTAAAGCTCCATTTTGTCTTCTATTTATTTCTCACTGTTGATTGATCAGAAATATAAAAGAATCGAATCAATTTATAATTTTTATCTAAAAATCTTATAATTATCCTTATCAAATAGCCTTTCCGACCTCGATAGTATTAGCATAGTTTAGTAATACATCATACGCGGTGATTTGATGGTTAAAATGCTTGACGAGGTTTGATTAGACTCAAACGAGAGTTAGTGGTTACAAAGTCAGCTGGAAATAGTTTGATGGATGACCGCGATTTCCATTTGTACTTTTAAAGCATTGTAGTCTTCATGTGTTTATTAAATGGACAAGTGTGTTAGCGTTGTCTACGTACCCTTTACCTTAATAGGTTTTTGAAGGGCGAAGTTGCCTAGTCAGTAATTAAGTTATTTGTAAAGTTAATTTGCGGATGTGTGATTGGCCACATCTGAAGTACTGAGCTCCGAAGGTGTCGATTACCCCAAGGAAAGTTATTTGGATAATTCCCTATCATTTTAATTTCGTTTCACCGACCTTGGTTTCAAAGTCAAATGTGATCAATAAGTGGTGAGACGTGGTTTGCAAGTTTGTACTTGCATCATTCATTTTAAGAGTTGAGATACTTTGGTAGTTAGAATTATTGTCACTAATCAGCCCGTAGGAGGGCGTTGAAGGTTAGCGTACTAGTTATTAAAGCCATAAGGCAAAATAATACTTGGTTTACGAGAACTGATTACCTCAAAGAACTAGGCAAGCATAATACTAGGTTTATACTAGTGCTTATGGGGTTTTAGTTACAGTCAGATTTGTAACCAGTACTGCGACACTAGGTGACAGGTTCGAAGCACATATTTGCAAATAAACCTTATTAATCACCACATAACTCTAGTCGAGTAGTACTTCCTCTCGGTTGCCACCATCTGCTTAATATCTTCATTCGCTGAAGCAAATTGACGTTTTTTGATATTTTAAATCCAAATTAGTTATTAGCTGAACTGAAACATTCTTAGAATTCAATCTTTGTTCACACATGTGTAGTGACCTACTTTAATCAAGAGAACGCGATTAGTTTAATAGAAACAATTATTATTATAACCAATTATACTGTACTAAAGACATTCTTCCTTCCGTTGGTTGTGACGTTGCACGAATTCGGTTACGCTGGGTAACCACACTTGTACTCCGTTGGCACGATCTCGGTATTCTTTCGATACCACTAGGTCGCCAGCAAATATATCTCGACTACAGCCATCAACTGCCTCCTGATATTTGTCTTACAGGGGATCTTATCGGTGAACTGGCACGTAGTCTTTCTGTAGTCATAGTCAACTGCGACTCGACGGCACACAACACATGTATGCGTACATGAATATAAACAGCAAGATGATTAGTGATATTGTCTTCTCATTCAGAAACACCTTTCAAGATGTTCTAATATTCATTTTTCATTCGATTCAAGAATGTCAACTACATTTTTTTAGTCATAGAGACAGTGAATCCTATTTTTTGTTTGTTTATTTTCTTCTCGTTATTGATTAAGTTTGTTTCTGTAGACTAGAATTGTGGAATTTTTAATTTTCATTGGTTTATTCACTCCACAATCTTTTATAGGGATAAATAAACATATATTCCCAATCTATTTAATTGGTCAATTCTATAAAATAGACACAGGTATGACCTGTCAATTTTATATCTGTCTAGTCTACTAATAGTTTTACATACTTCTCTACTTGTGAATCAAATTTTCATCCTAATAGGATAACTTTGTGGTTTATTTATATTAGTATATGGTATTAAACATTAAAACACACAACTATTTCTTGGTTCTATATATGATGATAAAGTCTATGATAAAACCTTTTTTGATATTCACTTCCAAATGATAAAACGGATCATTTATTCAATGTAATCATAATTTTTGTTTTTGTTTACTTGATCCTAATTGTATACCTCAAATTGTATTCAATGATAATTGATTCCAATTTATTATTATTGAAAATTATTTCATCCATATATTACTTTATTCAATCATTATCATCTTATGCATCATTCCGATCAACATCGACGACGACAACGACAATATCGTCGTCCTTCTCCTCCTCCTCCTCTTCATCGTCATCCTTCTCATTTACTTATTCATTGTATATTCTATTTTATTTATTGAATAGATTTCTATTTCAATATCAATATGTTGATGCAGTACAAGGATGTAGTATCTTTTATCAATTAGATTTTAAATGGAAAAAAGCATTATGTGATTCTGAATTGAATAAACTTCAAGAAATTCCATTTGATTTACCAATAAATTTAATTGAATTACGTATTATTCATCAATCAATTAAAAAAATTAAAAAAAATTCATCATTATATTCATTAATTCATTTAGAATTATTACATATTGAATCGAGTGAATTAAAACATATTGAATCGGATACATTTAAACAATTAATTTCATTAAAATCAATTAATTTACGTAATAATTCATTAAGATTATGTAATCATTATCACCATAGTGATGAATGTTTCCCTAGTGATATATTTCATAATTTACCTAATTTAATCTCATTAAATTTAGCTGAAAATTTTATTGATTTTATACCAGATTCATTTTTCAATGGATTACAACATTATAATTTAAAATTAAAATATTTATGGTTAAATTCAATGAAATCAATAAATGGTATAAAATTTGAATCGAATCATTTTATGAAACCATTAATACAATTACGTTTATTAGATTTAAGTTATACAGGTTTATATGAATTAGATTCATCGAATGAATTAGCATTGAATAAAATGATTTATTTAAATGAATTTTATTTAGGTGGTAATCCATGGTTATGTGATTGTAAATTAAATTGGTTAAAATTATGGTTTTTAAATAGATCATCAACCACTTCGTCAGTAATATCAAGCTCTTCATCAGCAACATCATCATCATCATCATTGAATAAAATTCAATATCAACAAAATAAAACGAATTCCAATGGTCATATTGAATTGATTGAACCAATTTGTTATAAACCAGATCAATTAAAAGGTAAATTGATATTATCCAATAATCAATTGAATTCATTACAATTTCATGATTTATATTGTATCCCACAAATCTTTACATTGAATCAAAATCTTACCTTTTATTATCATCATCAAATGTTATTAACATGTGAATATTATACCACTAATATAAATGATTTATTATGGTATAAAAATAATCAACAATTATTTAAACAAAATACAACGCATTATTCTATTAGTTATGATCAATTAGGCGCGAATTTTTATTCAAATTTATTAATCCCCTTGACAACGGAACAAGATACTGGATTATGGAGTTGTGTATTAAATAATCAATATCGTACATTATTTCATGTTACTATAATAAATTCTAATGGTGAAATACTTTACCCTAACAACAATGACAATGAGAATAAGGATTCATTTCTATATAAAGTATTTACATTATTTGGTAATAATAATCAAATCAATCATTGGATATATGGTAGTATTATAATCATTATATTATTTGTTATTTTAATATTGATTAGTATAGGAATATTTTGTTGTTATCATTCACAATCATCAAGATTAACTAATAGATCTATAGATGAAATCAATATGAAGAATTGTATATCGATGAATAAATCAAGATCTATATGTAGACGTCGATTGAAATGTATCAATGGCAGTCACCATCATCATCATCATCATCATAGTAACAATAAAAAGATCAAAGATGATTCAATAAGTAGTCTATTAGTAACAACAAATGATGAACCAAAAATGATTGATAAAAATGAATTACAATTAACAAACCATATGAAAGAGGATACAATTGTAACTTCTACCACAATCATAACAACGACTACTATACCCAATTCAAATATCCATGTAAATCATGTAGAGAATAATGATATATTATCAAGTAGAAATATAGATGAGAATCGTTTATTAAATATATTTTGTTGTCCTACAAATTCAACACGTGATGTTCAATTAGTAACTATACCTACAACTAGTTCTTCATCAACCAATGTTACATGTTTAGATGGATCATTTCTACAAGGAACAGTTGTTACTGATGAAAATCATGTACTAGTATCTTGTGATAGTCCAGAACCAAAATTATTCATTGCTACAAATGGAATTACACCTTCTTCTAATATTTCTACATTAGACTTTTCTAATTGCTTACAACAACAACAACAGCCATTGAATGTTATACCTCAACCAAGTTGTACTGGATGGGCTACTAGTGGTAGTTATTCATCCCCACAATTCCCTGGAATTTATACATCTAGTCAAATAACTATTGAAACATCAAAACCATGTCCTGTACATGGAATTATGAATTTGAAACCGATGGAAATTAATTGTGATATAACTACCAATAATACTGTTGATAGTAATCATGCAAATGTTAAACAATTGCCAAATTATAAAAAAATCGATTCACTGTATTGGGATCATTCTAATAGTTCAGCGATTTTAACTAATCCTCACTTATCCTATAACTTATCAAATTGTGTATTTTTAGATTCTCAAAATTATGGTACTATTACCAATGGTAGTAACAGAAATAGTGATCCTCAAAAGAATGAAATAGAAGTTATGCAAAATTATTCAAAAACTTTATCCTCGTATCATAATATCAAGGATTATAGTTTATTACAAAAAGCTAATTTAAACGAAGCTAACATACAATGGCCTACTGATTCACGATCTCAAGGAGCCTGTCCAGTGCATGGAAATCAGACGTTAACACGAAGAAATAATCAATTAAAACACACTAATAAGGAAGATGTTACGTTAGGGAATCGCAAAAATTTAAAAAGAAATCATCGAAGTAAATCTATCATTCGTGAACAATCCAGTTATCTCATAGATCAATGTCATCATGGAACGGTAGATAATCAAGAAGCATCGATTTCCTCTTCTAATGAAACAAATGATAATGAAGAAACCAAAATTCAGTTAAACAGTGTTCATAATGACGGCTTATCAATAACTTCTATCAAGCCAAAACAAATCAGTTACACATCAAATGATGAGACAGAATCTCAAGGTGAAAGTTCTCTTT